ACTCACTCTCTCTCTCTCTCTCTCTCTCTCTCTCTCTCTCACACACACACACACACACACACATATACACACATATACGTAGATGAAGAAAAGAGGGGATATCAAAGTTATTTAAAGATATATTTCATTTTCATTTAGTATATATATATATATTTATTTTATACGTGACCGTGATTTTATAAAAACGTGTGAAAATATTCGAAGAGCGCGCGTATATGAATTGTCTTTATGTGAGTTTTTAAAAGATATTTCTTTGGTATCAGCCGTTTAGTTTTTATCTTTTTCTTTTTTTTTTTTTTTTTTTTTTTTTGTAGAATATTCCAATCAAATCCATAAATATTATATTGCGTTTCGCAAGTAACATGCGCAATTTCCCTGGTTTCTTCATACTTTGGGAATATGTTAGAACGATTTATTCAAGATGAAAGATTCGTGTAAAAATAGGAAAAAGTCCGTTGAAGAAAATGAATATTAAAGAAGCGAAAGGAATCTTTTTTCGAGTTTGCTCGCTCGAATTCTTATTATTTGCTTGGAAGGATGTGGGAAAAAAAATACGTGTTATCTTTATCGTTCGTACTTTTAGAAACTCGATTTGTCTCTTCTCTTTTCGATATCATTGGTACATCAACTATCAACTTTCTTTCGAGAAAAACCTGTTTAGCGAGAGATAGAATCAACTTGTTATCGCGGTTATCCTCCAGTTTCTCAAATTCCAAATTTCTATATGATCTCGATACAAGCTCAGCGATATGTGTATAGTGTACAAAAAGAGAGGAAAAAGAGGAAACTTTCTTAGCTCGTAAGAGGACAAATATACAAAACTTGGAAATTCGCGGAACGACGTAATTAAAAAACCACGCGGAGAAATCGCGAGAGAGACGGGTAATTAAAAAGGAACGAAAGTGACAGTTTTTTCAGGAGGTCAAGATGCTTTAGAACGCTTTAGAGCGCGTAGAGCGAGTCGTAATGGAGGAAGGAAAAAGCGAGAGAAGAGGAAAAAAAAAAAAGAAAGAAGAAGAAAAGTAGAAAAGAAGAGAGTGAATTGAAAAAGGGGGAAAAACATAGGGCAACAACTGACGGACTTACACAACCATATACACGTCGTTTGGTCAACGTCGTTGAAACACACTTACAAGTTGCATACATACTTACGCACACACTTGAACTCCGTTCAGAGTACGTAAAAAAACGTATCTCGGAAAAGAGAAAGCATTACAGATAGGATCGGGTCACATAGGAAGAAGATGACCAAGGAGCGCGCGAGGGTTACAGGAAAAAAACGAAAACAGAGGGAGATGGGAAGAGGAAGCGGAGAGGGAGGACGATGGGGAGAAGAAGGTGAGAGCGGGTGGTTAAGGTGGTTCTCCTGGTGAGGATGGTAAAAGGTAAGCAGCGCGTATAGCGCGTGCGCTCGTCGGTTAGTCCGATACACCTAATACACGCATACAGGCACAGATACAGAGGCACGATGCAATGGGGGTTAGGAGGCGAAGAGAGGAACGGCGGGGTTAACATCGGAGGGAGGATCGCAAACTCTAACGAGGAAGCGAGGAAGCGAGAAAGCGAGGAAGCGAGCGGGGCGAGCGTAAGCGAGATGGGATAACAGTTGGAAACGTGAATGGGGAAGAGTGGAATAGAGACAGCGAGCTGCGACAGTCGATGGACAAAGAAGCGAGGATTCGCGAGGATCCTTGCGCGGTATGAGGTTTGCATGCCTAGCAGACGGCTCCTCAGTATCGTCCTACGTTCCGCTCGCGACGTGACCCTTTAACTTGGTGTACTGGTCCGCGCGCCATCCGAACTTGTCTGATGCGCATCCGTTCATCTTCTCGTGTATACCGGTGTTACCATTGTTGCACGCGCCACTGTTGCTCGTTGCTCTTCTTTTTTTTTTTTTTCTTTCTCTCTCTCTCCCCCTCTCGTTTTCACGCACCGTTCAGTGATACGATCCCGAAGAAGGGCGAAAGTATTACGTTCGTTTCGTCCCGTCACGGGTGATGAGTGCCGTTTGTCGTATCCTTGAACCGTTTCCATTAGTAGGAATACCAACAAAGTGATCGAAGGAGGGTGACACGGAAGAGGGAAATATATTGGATGTTACGCACGTACGTACTTATGTATTATCTTGATTGATGATAAATCCATTCGGCGTTGATTCCGTTTGTTGTCATATTACGTCGCGTGTAATGATAAACGATGGAAGATTGTGCTTTCACAATTTTCGACTAAATAATAAGGAAGCGTGCGTTGTTGATGAATGAAATTATATACGATACTTTTTCCTGTTTTATCATCTTCTTTTTCTTTTTTTTGTTTTTTTTTTTTGTTTTTTTTGTTTTTTAAGTATATATTATATAGTATGTATAGGATAAGATAGCTCGTTACAGTGTTTTACAGTGTTGTTTACGTTTTTACGCTTCTGAATTTAGAAAATACAAAGTGATATATAATTTAGACGGTGATAACAAGTGATAAGTACAATCGTAGCTAACTATTACTGACCATACCTGATATACGAATAGATTGTTCTATAATTTATGTATGTACAGCAGATGTATTTGTATAGATGATATCAAGATTGTTTTATTGAATTTTAGCGTTTATCTATTATCAATTTCATTTTTATTCTATTATTCGTCGTGACCGATTTTATCATCTTGTAGAACGTTTTATCAATCGTTTCTACATACGTTTCTTCGATCGTATCCTTTAATCGAGCCATTCGTAGATCCAAACCCGGTTCAACCTTAGTTTTGCGAGAGCAATAAACGAATATTATATGTATACAATACAATGTATATATATCATTGGAGACGTTATGTATATTATAAGGAACGTAAAATTAGAAAAAAAAAAAAAAAAAGAAAATACATAGCGGTAAAAAAAAAAAAAATAGTGCGGTATGTTCCTCGATTGTGAAACGCACAAAAACCCTTATTTTTTGGAATTCGAACGCATCATTGATATTGAAGGGCGTTGAATGCGTATTTAAAAAAAAAAGTGTACCGCTAAATTATAAAAGAAAAAAAATATACGATATTGATAGTATAAAAAAAGATAAACGGATTAAAAAAAAAGTTTTAAATCATCCCCCTCGCCTGTCCTCCTGTTCCTCTATTGTCGCTAATCCGATTCACCGAAACTTTTCCTTTGTTTTCCGCTTTCATTGATATTCTCCTACGGTATAGCGGGAATGAAAACTTTGTTGTTCCGTGCAGAAAGACCGATAGGAAGTTTATCAGTACGAAGAATGAGAAAGGTATGCTTTCGATCCATAATTAAGGCAATATCGATATGCGTCTGTTACAGTCTTCATTAAATTATAACAGAATTATTTGCACGAAAATTTCCAAAGTTCACAGTTAATTTATCAAATTGGGCACAATTTATCAGAATTGTGCAGTTTGTTAAAATAATCCAGTCGGAATATTTTTTGTTATTTTTACAATGGTCTGCGTACTTCAACTATTTTGATTCTTTTTTTTTTTTTTCTTTTTTTTTTGCGACAGGTAAGTTTGTGTTTTCCAAGTAAAAATGAACGACGCGACATTTCGTTGATAAATATTTATCCCGTTGATTGACGAAATTTAAAAATTCGAACGTTTCTTTTTTTACTGACCCATTTTTCGTGACACTACTAGCATGACGTAAACATCGGCTTATAAATACTAAAACAATATGACTCCGTCGAACAATATAATTATGACTGTGATTAATTAAACATAAAGAAAAAAGGTTCCCATGGTCGACATTGCGTTGTATCTCACGATGGAGCAGCACACTTGCACACACTGTATAATATCTGCTGTAACGTCACGCACGTCACAACCTATAAATTCACGAAATACACGCTTCCGAGTTCCGGTTTCCACGCGTAAAACTAAATCTATCTCCTTTTTCTTTTTTCTTCCCTTGTTATATGTTATATAGCAGCCGGTTCGCGGAGAAAGCCGTGATTACAGATTAATAACGTAAGATGCATTACTATGCTCAACGTAGATAGAGACGAATTAGCATTCGAAGACGTAACGTTTTGCGTTCCTGAGAAATTAATTGAATTGTTACGTGTATTACGTAGAAAGTATCAGTTGGATATTCGTTGGGAAAACGATGTATCTTGTTAATTGAAATAAATTTCATGCATAGAATAAAAATTTTTAATCGATACGGAAACTTGTTTTCATCTTATTTATCCATCTCTCATCTTAAACATATTCAATATGGTAAATTACATTTCTTACGACAATAATAAATACGAATAATTTTCTATTTCTTCGGGATAATTCGAATGATCGAAAAAAGTCGTCTAATAATTAAATAGATTAAAAGGAAGGAATCGACGTAAGAATCACAAAGAATAGAGAATCTCCTTCGTTCCTCGCCAAACTCCCGCCTAGAACAGTTTCTTTTTTCACTGAATATAATATTTCATAAGTATCTTAGAAAATCATCCTCATTATTTTATGATTACGTCCGTAATGGATAATCGCGGTAGCAAAAGCGCGATAGAATCAACGGAAAGTGTCTGCTGTCCGTGTAATATATATATATATATATATATATCAGGTGTGTTCGTAATTTCACTTATGTCATATACTTCCTTTACAACTCCAACAACCCTTCCTCCACCAGAGGAGGAGGGCTGTTCGTATCACGCGAGAGAACGCGGAGGACAATCCGTTGTTTCTTCGCTGTGCCTTCTGAAAGAAGAAAAGTCGTGAAAAGAGTTGCAATCGCATGTGTGAAGCGGAGTCCTGCGGAGGTCGTAGGTAGGCTAACGACTCACTGCCGTTCTACTGGCGAAAGTGGGCTCGTCTTCCGGATCAACGTCTCCTCGATAAATCGTATAAGTCACTCGTTCGTTGCGCTTCCGTCTTTGCTGGTGATGCGCAACGCATTCGAGTAATCAAGTGCACTATTAACACCACCTTCTCTTGCGATGTTAAACTATCATATTATATTTTGAAATTAGATATATACTATTCGTCCAGCAATAAACTTGATTGATTAAAGTTAGGAAAGGATGATGATAATGATAATAACAATAATAATATAAATACTAAACAGAGAAAAATTATATAACACGGCCGTTGTATTTCCGTATCTTTTCGAATCACGGTTGAGAGATTATAGTGATGTGTCTCCATTTCCAATAAGAATCACCATTACTTTTCCTGTGTTAATTGTATAATAAAATCTAAAATGCATCGTTCGCAACGATTCGAATTGTAATTTTAAATCTATTCGAAGATTTCGATTTGTCCGTATCAAAATTTCTAACTATAAACTCAATATTATTCTTTCCATCTGCCAGACGTACCATTACAACTTACAAAAAATATAAATCTACGAAATCTGCGACGATTGCAACGATAAATATCCATCCGAAGGAGCAATCTCTAAAACCAAGAGAGATTTCTGGAGATCTCTCTCTCTCTCTCTCTCTTAACTCAACTATTTATTATTATCGACGAAATAAGAAACGTTTCTCCGGCTATAGATAATCATGGCGCATTATTATTTCGACATTCTCTCGTCTTTTCGTGCGACAATCTCGTGGAAAATTACACGGCAAGCACGAATATTCCGGGTTGATATTGCCCGTTGATGGTTGCACGATTCTTGCTTAAATCGTCGTATTGGATTGCGACGAAAACGCACTCCCATTCCGAGGGGAGATCGTGTCGATCCGCCACGGAAGATTCGCAGCTCGTTCCTCGACGTGACTCAATATCGGTTGCCGTGGTCGGCTCGCCGCTTTCTAACATCTCTTGCCACGGGGGGGACCCGCTAATCAGATCCGCTCTTAAGATATCCGACCATCTTCCTCGGTGACTGCCCCGAAATGACCTTTCTTCGGATCTTGAACGCGGGCGGATCCAAGCGTGGCTCGAGGGTCAACACCGATAAACCGGTGTTGCGATCGGTAAATAGATGTATGAATAAAACCACTTCCGCTTCTCTCCGCTTCCCTTGAGAAGTACGGCCGAAAGTCTCCTCGTGCATACGTGTCGGACATACGTATATTCGTGAACAGGATGTTTCATAAGATGCCGCCTCTATAACGATCTCAACCGTTCATGCAGCATTTCCTCAACCGAAAACATGCGCGCGTCCCCGCGTTCTCATAATGCACGGATAACGTACGAGGATCGCTCGAGGAGACGAGCGAGTTTTTCGTTTTTTTCCCTCCCTCCTTTTCTCTGTGGGTAATATCAACGTCGATGTTTATTACATGCAAACGTACGTTTCGTTTTAAACATTTTTCCAATGATCTGTGGAGATCATTTTTTGGCGAAGTGGAATGGATTCGAATAAAAGATAATTAACGAAACGATGGATTGGATTGGATATCTATTTTTGAGAATATGTTGTTCGATTCCTAGACAAGTCAAGGAACTATAATTGCTGGGAAATTTGTCACAGAATTGGACGAGGATCGACGTGGTGTGAAACATTAATTTCGAGAAAGTGGAGCGAAGACAAAAGGTGGATAATTTCGGTCGATTACTTCATCTCTGTTTCCTCTACGTTTACGTTCCCTGCAAATATTTCTTTTTTATTTACATTCGCAAAATCTGGAGTGATGGCCGAAATATCTTCTCGTGTTATCGGGATGAAAGAGGAGGATGAGAGAAGGCACGAAAACAAATAGCTTGTAGTATGAAAGGATTATAACGCCGAAACTCAGTCACGAAAGAAACAACCAGTTACAAGAACTCTCCCATAATGAATACAATGCTTTACGTAAGGTGGTACGTACACATGGGAAAAAAACTTCAAAAAAAACACGACGTTTTCCTTGATAAGGTCGATAAGAAGAAGATATCAAATTCTTTTAATAATAAATGGAAGACAAAGAGATGTAATCGCTTCATCTTTGAAAAAATTCCAATTTGTTTCATAAGAAATGCAGATTTTTTTTTTTCTTTTTTAAATTAACGACTATATCGACACGAGAGAAGAAATACAAAAGAAACAAAGTTAATGGTTAGTTTTACCTTCCGGAATCCTAAATGGAAAGGAAAATTTCTTCTTTTACACTATAACAAAATGCTTCGAAAAATGTTACGGCTGATTCATGTAATTATCTTCGCCATTATTCGCCTCAACGAAGCTGAACGAATGACAGAGAGGAGAAAGATCTCATTGCCTGTTTCAATTTTACAAATTCTAGTCTAAACAATAAGCGCAAAAGACATTTTCTATCGCGATAAAATCTATTCGTCGATAGAAATCTATTCTTTCTTAACAGAGGGAAATATTCTTCTCCAAAATTCTTCCAATTTTAATAACACCTTTAAACTTGAAAAAAATCATTTTAATACGTTAAGCAAAACGATGTATAATTGGTTAACGATTTATATCATCATTTCTTACAAGTCTTTGAATAATTTCCTGATCGTGTATAATCAGTTAATCAAGATAATTACTCGTGCAACATTTTTTATAATGCAAAATTAATAAAATCAGATAAACTTTATGAAACGAGTACAATACTTAATACGAATAAGAAATATAGATGAAAATAAGAAGATCTGATATTTTCATTCAACTTTTTCACAATTTCACAATTCGCATAATTTTCCACTTGCATTGACTTTGTATTATCGTTTCACGAATACAGATTTGCGAATATATACATAAAAACGAATATTAGTTTAATTCTCGTCTCTTTGACCAGCTTACGATCTATCTCTCGACTTTCTCGATTCAACTTCGTTGAAGAAAAGTAATCTGTTTCACGCAACACGCAGCCTGTGTTTGCGATAATATCTGGCGACTCGATTCGTTCATTCGATTGTTACCTTAACGCGATGCTCTCCCGTATCGCCTCGTTAGATTTCGAGCGTGCAAAAGTGAACAAAATAACCGGAAAGGAACGTGTGACTCAATGAAAGGAACCGTTGCTCCCCATTGTTTAATCACGATTACAAATCCGATAATAATACACTATAATAATATTAATATTATCGATATTCTATCTATATTTAACCCACCTTCCTTTTAATTAATCAGAAAGTGGAGAAGAGGCGAAAGAGTTTTCCTCTTCCTAAAATATTCTAAAATTCGAATTTACGATATAACTATAAATCCATATAAACATCAATGCATAATTATCTTAATTATAAGAAAAAACGCGATTTACGAATGTGGAAAAAGTAACGAATGGAAGAAATGAGATACGTGTACTAATAAAAATCAACGAATCGAAACGAGGATTTGCATTGATTCTTCGTAATTTTGTTCGTGGGTGACTTTCGCGGGTTACTAAGGACGATACCGCCGAACGGCCGGTGTCGTTCGAGAAACTAGAAGGTTACCGGTTACTCCTGAAATAATTGCCTCCTTTGAATTAGCATTACAAAAGAGGAAGGCGGTACGTATGCGAGTACGCGCTCGTTAAGACGCCAAGTTTTGTTTCGCTATCTGCCGGCTATTGTTTCAACATCGCGCTATCCGCCCGGGCCCTGTGTCCGTAAGCTTCCCTTCTCCAGCCAGCGATGCCTTTGGGACCGATTCCTCGAAATAGTATCCCCTATTACGCGAGAATCGAATCTATTAACGTACGACGCTCCTTTATCCATCAAATTTTCAACACCAAGATTACGATAATTGCAAGGAATTACATCTTTATCAAAAAAATACAGAGATTGTTTTTTAAAACAACGTATTAGTAAACGATCATGTTCGAGTCCTTTCATTAAATACAATCTCGCGAAATTATTTTGTAAATCCTTTCACGCGGTAAAAAAAGAAAAGAAAAATTTGGATTCGTTAACCCAGGTCCATCGAGAGAAGAATCGCCGTAATCGAAGCTGCAACCCTTGGAAGCATACTTGTTATATGCATACATACGTAGGTATACGTCGTGCGAACGGATCGTTAGTCGAAGAAAAAAAAAATAAAAAAGAAAAAAAACTCTCCGGTTCTCGCGCAGGTATTGTATAGCTGATATCGTCGGGAAGAAACCAAGTTCCATTAAAAAAATCGTGATCGTTGCTCGACAACGTAACCCTTGCTGATCGTCGAACGATCGATATCAATCAAGAGAAATAAGACAACAATCGAAGAGGATCGAGTATGGACGAGTAAAATGACAACGAGAGGTTCATATCGGTCGCAGACTCCTGAGAGAGAGAGAGAGTGAAAGTACGTCATTATAATACTCATCGCGGTTTGCCCAAAGGATTAACCATAAATTGCGCGTCGCATCAAATGCCAACAGGCAACTTAATGACTACCGTAATCATTTTGAAAGTCCGGTGAATCGGTGAACCGTGAGAATGAACAAGATATTCTCCACTCGTCTTCAGGATTGCGTCACGCGTCACGACGACAAAGAAAGAGAAAGAGGAAGGTAGGAACGAGACGAACACGATAGGGCTATTTGTTTCTTCCGACAACGAGAGGTTGACTCGCTTTCATGTTGTCGATTGTTGAATGTCACTGAGCCACGGACACCGGACCGATCGTTTATACTCATCGCGGATTACCGTAGTATAATAGAAACCCCATTACCACGGCCAGGGATTTGATTAGGATAATCGATTTCACGGGTAATCATGGGGCAACGTTCTCAACTATTCAAGTCCTTTGCTGGTGGTTTTATTATCGCGATCGAGCCGAACGCCTTTTCTCGGTAAACTCGAGTCGGCCGTTTATCACTGATTGACGTGTATGCACGATGAACGTGGGTGATTGTGAATCACGAAGGAGGAATCGTGATGAATTTTATTTCCTTTTTTTTCTTCTTTTTTTTACTCGTTTTTTTTTTCTCTCTTTTTATTTTTCACGCGAAGGGAACGTTCGGTCGATTAGCTTTTTCGATCAGTTTATTCATCGAGAAAGAGATAATTTATTCGCGAAAGATGACGAATATATGAGTATTGCGATTATTGATCGCAAGTTCAAGCAGCAACCAGATATTTTGTTTCGAGTGATTCGCGTTCGATAAACTATTTACATACGATTATAAATTCAATGCGATTAATACAAATATGAATTATTAATGCATTTACAATATATTATGTAGCTATGTACATGTAATATATAATTATTATTATAATTTGAATATATTTTTAATCGTGTATCTATTTTATTCGTATACTTTAATGAATTCCATTACCACTGTATCGAAGATTTTAACAAAGATATTATAAATTTTTTATTGTCACGAAGATGAGTACTTACAAATATGTACCGCATAAATCTTAAGAGATTATTATCGCGATTGAGCAAAGTTCTTGGTATTTTATTTATTAATAGTTCATGGGATGCTTACGTTATGAGGCATAGACGATTAAATGTCATCTCTTCGTTTTGAAGTTTTGTTTTATGTGAATGTTTCTTATTAAAATTATTTTTTAATTGGATATAAAAGATTTAATTTGATGATATTTATTCAATTTAAATAATCGATTTAAGTTTAAGTATAACTTTTAAAAATATTTATACAGTTTATTGATCGAAATAACGAATGGATGTTTGTTATCTAATATAGAGAAGCGTTCCTTCGGAAGCCGAAATAGCTCAGTTGGGAGAGCGTTAGACTGAAGATCTAAATGTCCCTGGTTCGATCCCGGGTTTCGGCAGATGACTTTTTTTTTCATTGAAAAATTTGTGTTTTACATTTTAGTTTCTTTGTAAACATTAATTGTTTAATACTTTAATGCCGTATTGATCGATATTTTTCATATAATTTTCATCTATATATTATAAATATATCTATAGTATAAAATTGTAGATAATAATTATTTGAACATTATAAATTTGTATTTTGAAAATATATTAATAAAAGAAATGTAATAATATAAAAATGTCAAGTTTTTTTTCGTATTTTGTTTCAGAATCATGCACAAAAATTTATCCAGAATGGTATGCCTTGAAATAATCATATTTTTATGTAAGTACGAACAAAGTTTTTTTTTTTCTTTTTATATTATATTTGATCCATAAAACAAATATTACGTTAGCGTTGTTTGAATATTAAACAATAAATGAAATATCATTTTACATAGATATTTTACGAGATATAAATCTCATCATGATTTTTAAAATAATGCTTATATTACCCGATTTTACAGGTTCAATGGTCACTTTTATGGTCAGCAATTGCGAAACAGAGGTGATTATGATTTTTCATTAACGCATTTACTATGTAAACATGTATACTTATAATATTTAATTATATTTATGTTTACTCTTTTTTATTTATCTACTATCACGATTATATAATAGAAGAAAAATGTTGAAAAAAATTGCAATTTTTCATTTCTTCTTCAAAAATTATTACTATTTGAAAAAAAAAATCAATATTTCAACTAATATAACATTTTACTACGAGTTAAATTCACTTCTAGTCAGAAAATAGTAACAAGAAGGTAAATTTGCCCTAGCTCCCGTCAGAGTTGGATTTATCCAGTCTAGAAGCATCGGTAGAAAACGAAGAATCGTTGAGAAAAATAGTGAAGAGGCTGGCACCGGAGAAGAATGGCGAGTACCAAATTTATCAAGGTTCCTAACCAAAACTCTTACTAACGCCTAAATGTATACAATTTACCACCCTCTTCCGTTCCATCTCTAAAATACTTTCTTCGCCTTTCTTTCCCAGTCTTCTTCGGCAATGTGGATCTTCTCAAGGAATGGCTCAAAGGAGCGGGTATTATTAATAATACTGCATAAGTAGACAACAGCCGCTTTCTCTTCCAGCTTCCTCTATCCAAGTAGAATAAAGCGCATGCATTCAATTAGTTAGTATTCTTTATTTTAAACCGATCAACGTGACAACTAATAACATGGATTCAGGAAATTAATATCCCTCGATAGAAAATGAAACGAGATCGCGTTGTTGATATCGATTTGAACTTAAACTCGATATTTCATTATTATCGTTTCCTATATTTGTGTAATAATAATAATTTTAATCTTATACTTTTTATCTATTTTTTTTTCCGAATTTAAGCCGAATAATAATAATAATAATTTTTCTTTGAAGCGAACGAAATGAATATTATTCTCTTACAATTCGTAAGAATGCTTCGGTTGCATGAAAAATATATATTTTAGCTTTCACGAGTGTCAACGGATGAATGAATGAATGAAAAAAAAAAAAAAAAAATAGTTCCTATATTTCCTCCTGAGAGATTAAACGTCAGCGAATTTTTAAAAGAAAAGAAAAAAAAAAAAAACGAGACGATCAAGCTGTGTACAATGAGATCTTGCTCTTTTAATTTAGGCGTGACAGGACAGCCCGGAGTAGACTTTCCAGCGCTCACGACAATTCCAACCACTTCGTTCAGCTGTCGCGGCTTGAAAGGTGGTTACTACGCGGACTTGGAGACAAATTGTCAAGTGAGTAACGAATGGCTTAATGTATATCTTGCCGCAACGTAATTATTTTAATCAAACACGGGATTCCATGTTACGAAATCGCGAAATGCCTTGTTCCGTGAATATCGTAATCGAGCAAACGATGAATAGAGCGTTTATTCTAAACTCCTTGCGAACTTTATCGAACTTTCACCTAGGAGATAAAAAAAAAAAAAGAATATCTTCCTTCGATAAAAAGTGTGAAATTATTCAAAGCGTGGCTTTTCGAATGAGAAATCAAACTGCTTTGAAAAATAATAGAAAAAAAAAAAAAAAGAAAAGAAAAGAAGAACAGATAGCTGGGACGAATCACGAACGAACTCTTTCTGTTCAGGTATTCCACATCTGCGACAATGGCCGGAAGATATCGTTCCTCTGTCCCAACGGTACCATCTTTCAGCAATCGCAGTTGATTTGCGATTGGTGGTTTAAGGTGGACTGTAGCAAATCCACCGAGCTGTACGAGCAAAGCAGCGAGCAGCTGTTCGAGGAGGAGAGGAGACGAACCGAGGCGCGAAAATCGAAATTCGACTATCAACAATCGATCGAGCAGCAAGATCGCGGCCAACAAGATTACTACGACGTTCAAAATCTTAGCTACGACGGTAAACAGAACGGAAGGATCAAACCTTACGAGGAGCCTCCCCGAGAGAACCAGCTGCAATCGAACAGAGAAAGGATCAAATCCTCCCGCCATCTTGACTCCGGCAATAATTTCAGCCAGGAATCGCAAAGAGATAACGATCAATTGTTGGGTGTGAATGGGTTTCGATCATCGAGTCAACCGTCCAACTTGAAGCAACAATTCGATCAATTTACAAGGAGTACCGAGGAAGGGAACGCGAACAAGTATTCGACCACCGTCAATCAAGATTATTATACAGCCTCGAAAAAGACTCAAAATTACTACGTGACAAATAGAAACTCGAACGCCCAGCGGGACGATAAAGGAACTCTCAAGAGATTGAAGTTCAAAGGTAGAGGTAATTCGACTTCTGCCGCTTCGCAGAGGGTGACCCCGGCTTATACGGAGTCGACCACGTTCAGAGGAAGTAATACCAGCCCTGTGAAAGAATCGCAGCAATTTGCGGAAAGCGCGGCGTTCGTTGGAAATCGTGGGAATCGATTCAACGAGAACGCTGGAAACACGCATCACTATTACTACCAATTGTATATTAATCGGGGGGATTCCACCACGAGAAATCCTGATCACGACCCGACCACTTCGACCAGCCGGAGGCGGGATAACGAAAACGACTCGTCCACGGGGAGAAACGATTACACCCAGTTTACACCCACTTCCACGCGCTATTACGAGACGACCGCGCAATACCCGACACCCACTCCAGCGACTACCACTCCATGCGACGACGAAATCGCCACGACGGAGGAAAGTAGCCTCTCGACAAAGTCGTTCGCCAATTTCGATACCCGACCGACCGAATCCCTTCAATTTGCCAATACCAACTACGAGTATCGTAGCGGAAGCCAGAGGACTACAGGAACCAACGTTCGAAGCAGCTTCGTCGATAAAAATTACTACGATATTAACGTTAACAGGGAATCTAGCAGATCGACTAGCAACGTAGGAACGATTCCTCCAACCTCTCGCTCCTACGTGACCACGGATACTTATCGCCAAAACACGGTAACACCGAGCCCTCCGCAACAGAGGTACACGACTACCACCACCAATTATTACCAGTCGCCTACATCCACCGCGTCTTTTCGTAGCAATAATTTTCCTCGCGGTACAGAGAGACCGGTACTAAACACGATCGATAGTCGGTCCAATGGATTAAACGGCGATTCGAAACCTAGCGGCAAGAACCCTTCCACGGTTTCGCCGGGTTATCGACAAAACTTCGTCACCACCACGGAGAAACCTACGTTCAAGACTACGTCGGTTTCTCATCAACAAAATACCGAGAAGGATCCGAGCCCCTACGATAGAAGTTTCACGTACAAACAGGGCAAAGTAATGTCTACCCTGGGCCCTTACGTTCCGTTTACCAGGAATTACGCGTACACATCGGCGACAGGCACCGTTTCAAGGCCCACCCTCTACACCCCCACGGTGCCTGCTTATACCACGGCTTACGAATCGCCGAAAACTTCCACGCCGAAATCCACGAGATATCCTGCACCGACGAGTAAAAGCAAGACGAACGCATCGCGATCCTCCGAGAGGGAGCACGTGTTAAGCATGCTCCACTCCCTCAAGAATCTGGAGCACAGTGTGCCCGACGCGTTCAAAGGAAGCGAGAAAGCGAGCAATGTTTCCGTTCCTCCCCCCGATCCGTCCACCTTGCACTCTCTGGCGCTCTATTTTTCCACGGCTACCGAGAACTTCAACTCCAACGAGACTACAGACTCGTCTTTGAACGCAGAATCGGCGGACGATGATGTACAGGGATCGATACTTTTCTCGAAGAAAAGTAACGAGACGGTTCAAGTGCCGACCAGCCTTCTCACTCGACATACCATCGACTCGTACACGGAATTGTTCAAATTGAACGACGCTGTGGAGATCGGGAACGCGACGAGCACGGAAGATCGTCTGGATAACGGGAACGGAGAGGACGACGATCTGGAGCTTCAACAAAGCGGAGGATCCTTGGACGATCTTCGAAAGTCGAACGGTACCAGGCTCAGGGAGTTGGCACAAGTGTTCACGCACGCTTTGTCCGCGTATTTATTGGATCCAGACACGTTCAAGAAGGTCTTGACCGAGATCAGGCCCACCGAACCATCTCGAACTACGTTGGAAACCGATCTGTGGACCACCACCGCTTATCCTCCGGAGGACGAAGATAAGGACGGTTCGTTGGACAGGGAAAAGGACGAGGTTTTAGACTTCTCGGACGACAGTAACGATATCAGGCAGAAATTGACCACCGCCTATCCCACCACTTTCGAACTGCCCAGCACCACGGTACAAGAAAATCTTTACGAGACCTTGAGCACTATGCCAAGCACCTATTACACTACGCCGAGAACATCCGGCCAAAATTTCTTCGAATATAGTACGAACTTGGTATCGTTGAATCCCGTCTCTGGTAACTATTTCGAGAGTTCCACGCCACCGACAGAGAGCACGTTTACGACAGAGGCGAACAGCACACCGTACGCGAGCGATTCGAGCGGATCTTACAATCGGAATAACGAGATAGACGAAGGAAGCGTGGTCGAGTCAACGGACGTCCCGATGTCTTCCGACGAGAATCGGAATCGAGTCGGGGGTTTCCAAAACAACAGCGTCACGACAATCGCCGAACCGTACACCGATAGAATATCACTCGTCACCACTCCGACGAGCGACAATTACGTCGTCTCGCCGACACCTTTATCGCCATCGATGTTCATGCACATGGTTACCTACAACTGGAACAAGAAATCGACGAGCAAAAAGCCCGAGCAACAACTCAGTCCTCCGTTGTTCGACGGAAGTCACTCCCCCGTCAAACCGATTCGAAAGGAAACGACAAGATTCCCGCGTCTCCCGACAATTATCCCAGCACCCAGACATCCCAGCACAAGGTGCGCGCGACCACCCTCGCCTCGATCTCGAACAATTACGAGACGTCGACCGAGCAACCTTCCTTCAAAATTCCTCGACACAAATCGTTGTTGACCGAGGCAAAAGTTGGGGTTTCCCTGCCAACCTCGAGAAACAGTTACACGAAATTCAGGAATCTTTACAATCGCGTGGACGAGCACAACGTGGAGACAACCGAGAGAACGACGCCCACCACGACCATTTTAACCGAATTCCCCACAACGACTGTATCCACCGTCGAGACTACGTCTTATGCGAACGATTATTCCAACGACTCGTTCGAAACCACGAACCAACCTAAGAGGAAAGAATCCAAAAAAGTATTGGACAACGATCATTGGACCTCGTCACCGGCTGTCACTCATCTGTGGGAGACCTCCGTGTTCGTCGATCCTCAAAGGATCAACTACGATTTGGAGTCGGATGTCGAATCGACGGTGTCGTCGACGGGAACGCAATTCACCGTGACTGACAGCCGAGAATACGGGAACACGCCTTCCTTCGATGACGACACGTTGACCATTTCGGAAGAATCGTCGTCCACGGACGACGAGGATACGTCAATTTCCGTGCAAAGGTTGTCCAGGGACAAGGATTCACCGACGACCTTCTCTCTGCTTCCCACTTCGTTCACCGTGGAGAACACGGTGACGCCAAAGCCATTGATCACCACACGATCCAGTATCACCACCACGATAACCTCCTCCATCACGTCGACGAAATCGTTGCCCGGCCAACAGGGCCTGGTGACTTTGCTTCCTTACACGAGTTCCGTCGCGAGTAAATCGAACGGGACGGAGGACGAAATTGCGGAGAAATTGTTCGGCAAATTAAACGCTTCGAGCACCGACACGTTGATGAGAGTGATGAAACAGGCGGATAATAACGAGACCGTTCGACAACTTGTCCTTCTTTTGATACGGCATTGCAACGATCCGGCCAACAACACGTTGCAACGGGAGGAGCTGTTGAACGCTTTGCTCAGATTGCCCGTGAACGAATTCTCGTCCGAGGAGTCGAAAAACGTGGTGGCCGAGATTAATCGGCTCGATCTGCCCGCCACCGTTAAATCGGTTAATTACGCGAGAAGCGGCTCGACCGCGCCATTGATTACCGAGCCGCCCGTGACCACGTTCAGGAGTAGGAAGAGCCGAAAATTTCGCTCGACCACGGAAAATTCGGCGAATGTAGCGAGACGATCGGAAAAAGGGACGGTATCGGACGAGAATAATTCCCTCCAGGAGGATGACAGCTTCGCGTCTGACAATAGGGCGCTTGAACTTCTTAGATCGTTGTACACTATAGCTACTAAATGGGGGTGAAATTGTACGATACAAATTGTGGCGAGGATCGTTTTACCGTCGACAGGCTTCGAAGAATAAATAAATTCATTCGTGTTCTTTTTTTTTTTTTTTAAATTATTACTCTTGTTGCTATATCGTATTGGTTTGTTTGGAATCGATCGATCGTTCGAAAATATATTGATCGTGATGATAATTTTCAACGGTTGATTGATTTTGAACGGACACATAGATGCGTTAGATAATCTGAATTGATCGATCTTTCGTTTTCTTCTTAATCTTGTATCTTGGTTTATTTTTGCTCGATCAATTTTTTCGATTCGATGAAAGAAGGTGAAATTTCAATTACGATACGATACGAAATTGGAGGATTTTTACGGGTGATGGGAATACGTATTTAGTTACTATACGATGGAAATATCTCTTCTTTAAATTTTATACACGCACGGAATCTTTTCAAAGAATAAAAGATAAGAAGTTACGATTAGTTAGTGAACGACGAAACGACTCCCGATTAATTTCGCTTGAATCGTGCGTCACGGACACAGACCGTGGGAATAATGAAATTCTTTGGAACTCGTTCGTTAGACTGTAAATTAATTATATATCTATTAATTGCACCTGATCGTTAACAGTATTACATCGCATATCGCGAACACTTGTATCATAATCGTTGTACACCCTTTGTTGAATAAATAAGGATTTCGATGTTCTATAATAAATCCGACAACTTACCCTCCACGCGAAATATGGATATATCCACTTATATTTATATGCGTTGAAATAGTTTTTGTGGTTTACAAAAATTTTAATCATTACGAGGAAAACTTATGGAAACTTATATCGTAGAAACTTATATTGTATCTTGGAATCGCTTTAAATCTTGGTGCTGGTATGTTTTTTTGCATCTTATTTTAAAAGATAACAACTTCGAAGATACGAGGCCCTTGATAAATATAAATGAATCGTTTGTAAAATCTTTTTATTTTATTTCACTTTAATAATTTTATTATTTTTCGTTTTATCCAATTTTCTAAAATAAAATGATCGATTCGTAATAACATTGAACAACGATGTCTATCTCTTTATTTCAGATCTATTATTTTTTTAATTGTACTTCGTTTTTAATAAGTATTCAAATCGATGCTTATCACACATTACCGATCAATACTCGAGTTGGCAAGATAGATATTATCAGACATTATGTAAAATATTTGTACAGAATGTGAATAAATAAAAGAGGGTTTTGTTAATGTTTATCTCCTTTTCTTGTTCTTTTTTTTTTTTTTTTTTTCCTTTTATCGACGACAGTTCATTAATCATCTACGATGTCACGTATGAGTATCTAACAAAACCCGTAATACAAAATAATCTCCATGATATAATCGAATTCTATTACCCGGAGATCATTACCTGAGATACATATTGGCAAACACATATAAAGTGTGTTTCACTAGAACGTGATCGTAATGTTGAAAGATCCTTTCTTCACGACAGTTTTTTTCTCATTTTTATTCGTCCAAACATGTTCCTCGATCCAATCTAAATAAGAATAAATCGCGGTGTAAACACCCGGGGCAGGTGAACCACAAGTATTACCGAAAGCTGTGATTCCAATTACGGTGTCACCTCTTTCGGTCATCATTAACAATGGGCCTCCACTGTCTCCTTGACAAGCGTCCGCCCTTCGACTGGCATTATTGTCTATGGCACAAATGAAATTGTCGTCGATGCCGTTAGGTAATCTTGGATGTCCTACGTAGTGTTTTTCGCATTCCTCTCTACTCACGATGCTGTGATATTTGAAACAAATATTATTAATAAAAAAGTTTCATTATAATTTTAATAATTAATAAATAATTTAAAAAGACAATATGCAAAAATGTTTGCAAATTTTGCTTCACCTGAGACTAGGCGTCTTTCTCAATTTGACAGAATTCTCGGCATCGAAACTCGTAGCGCCCCATCCAATCACTATTAAAGATGTTCTCGGTGTTATCTTCAATGATGTTAAGGATTTGGTTTGAAGACAAATAGGTTTAGTCGTTTCCGAAACCTGTACCTTTGTTTTCAGCCTTAAAATAGCGATATCGTTATATTGCGTACTGCGTTTATATTTCGGATGACATATTACGTCGCTTATCGGAATCCGTTGCACGTTCGATTCGATACTTTGTATATCTTCGTTTCCTAATCGTACCTGGAACAACGCGTAAAAATTTAATAATAGAAGAATTCATTGCTAATTTGATTTGGTTTTTTTAATTTCAAATCTTTTAATAATACTCACTTCGATTGGTACTCTCTCATTTATATTACTGACACAATGTGCCGCAGTCAATACATACTGAGAAGATATCAAACTACCTCCACAACTATATTTGATAGGTTCGAAAATGTCGTCGTTTTCATATCCTAAAGCCACTGCGTATGGAAATTCACTGGACATAGCCAATTTTCCATTAAATATGTGGAGAGACAAATTTGCGTCCTCTTGTATTGTTGTTGCATTATTGCCGTATTCTTGACAAGCTGAAAATCGTTATATTAATTATTATAATAAATAGAATGAAACGATCTAGCTAAAAATTGTGTATAATAATTACTTAGACCTATAAAAATGTAAATCATGCATATTTACAATTACAATTAAAATAAATCATTAAATGGAGCTGGTTCTCTAAATAAATAACCAAGAAAACTCTTCAAAAAGACTATATATATATATTCTCTTTGATAATACGTACAATTTTATTTTACGTATTATTCATAAATTTTCGACTAAAAAAAAGATCGGTTATTTAAATTTTAAATGGGGCATGCAAATCACTTTATAATAGTTGATTTATATGCATTATATGATAACGATGTTTTGTCAATGAATTTCTTTTCATCATACTTTTATGCATATTTGTGTTTTATTTCAAATTCGATTAAAATATATGAAATTTAATATTAAAATAGTTAATTTTCATTGAATTCTTTTCTTGTTCTTTCTTTTAAAGATAAAAATTTTCTGTTTAAAAATTATGATATTATTTTATAAAATAATTATGGTAACAAACTGTTTTTGAAAATTAATAAAAGACAAAACTAATTCTGATACTTTTGTATTCCCAAACATTAATTATTACTATAGACATATGTATGTGTACGTGTACATACATATTTTTCCCATATACAAATACATGACAGGCGTGAATTTATATATCGTATGATCAGCAATAATTTATGTCATAAATTATTAAACTTTCACGCTATAAGCATTTTTTATAACAAAGATTAAAAATAAAACGGGAATATAAACTTTCTCTATCGATCTTTGATAATAAAGTATCGATACATTCGAAGAATAATTATAAAAACAGATTTAATAAAAATTTATTAATGATTCGCAATATAATATTCGAATTAATATTTTACTATTAAGGTTCCAATCTAAATTATGTATTAGTCATTCAGAAGTCAAACTGATCAACTTTATTTTATTTTTCAAAATTTTAATAACCTATAATAACTCGATCTGCATTTATCTTAATGAATAGATTAGATTGCCTTCTGTGTGACTCATTCGATATTTTTTTGAATAATAAATGCTCATACCGATATCAGCCGGACGAAGCAACACTTTTCTTTCGAAATTCATTATAGGACAACAAACAATCTCAATAAAATTAGAGAATCCGCATCTTCCTGTTGAAGCTGAATGCCTTAAGCCTTGCTGCACCTCTTGTATTCTTATTGGACAATCGGTTAATTCTTGCAGATGCCTGTCTTACCATCTTCCAACGTACATCGACTTCCTTCTAATAGAAATAAAAAGAAACAAGAAATACAAAAAATAATATTATTTTATTCCTTGTGACATTTAAGATGTTAATCTAAAATGTAAGTACACTGCAATATAGGATATTTTAAATTTATATTTGTCCTTTTTTTTTCAATACAGCGTAACACAATATCGAACATGATTCGTGATATAATTTGTTATAATTTGTCGTGTTCAAAAATTTTTGAATTTTTGTGAATTTATGCATGTGTATAATGCAACTATAACGTCACAAAAGAAGATATGAAACATCTATGAGTAAGGTATATCTAAATATTTTGTTTGCATCGTGGAATACCGAATTCACGAGGACCAGTTCGTTATATTCGTTATAATGATATCATTGTGACGAAGAACAAACAGTTTATCATAATTCCAGTCAACGAAGTTCATGAAAGAGAAGAGATCCATTCGTTTTTTTTCTTTTTTCAGAATCTAAGTGGATAAAAGTAACTGAAAACAAAATTCATGAAAGTGAACAGATATTTTTTTTTCCAGAAAAAACTGGATAAAAACTGACTCTATCGGTATTCATGACGAAATGTCTTCTTAAACAAGATGATTACAATTTTTGATTTTTTTCGATTACATATCGTTTGACACGAAGATAATCATAAAAATGATACATGTACATTCACATTTATTCACACTGTCGAAAATTTATTTACCGTAAAGTTCGTCGTCGTTCGCGTACGATAGGATGACAAGAAGTGAAACGAAAATTACGTTCGATAGAATGTGGTTGCACATTTCCTTGATAACGAAAAACGACACGAACTAGAAACGAACTAAAACGTTGTTGATAAAACGTTGTTGATAAACGTTGTTAATACGCGTGGCGTGCAGTTCAAGACTAAACTGATGGTCAAGCAAGCTCGAGTCGATTCTGCCATGAATCAGGCAGAAAGGAAAGATTCGTAGAAATATTGAAGCATGTCGGTTTCGATCTCAAAGAAGAGAAAAAAAAGGAAGAATAAAACGTAACCAAAACGTAAACAATAATGGATAAGTACAGCGATACTACAGCGATTAATATATTACGTGTCCGCCGTTAAACGATTGTTGTGCCGCGAACCGGATTTAAACAATACAATGAAACTTATGTGCAATATTTTACTATTCTTAAATTTTCTTTTTCTTTTTTTTTTCTTTTTTAACAAATCATTAATGACATACAAAGTTGTGTACAATTGTCCATACGACTAATCTTCATTTAAGAGTTACATCACAAGAAAAAAAATACATCATTGATCGAAATTAATTTTTATTTCAGATCAGACGTCATTCTTGAATACATGATTGATATTAATTCAATGATGATTCTTGACGTACTTAATTACGATAATTGGAATACAGTTAACGATCGTACAACAATTGATCTTGGTTCGGATAAAAATTCTTACATAATATTAAGTAAGTGAAAATATTATTGACTTAAGAGATTTTAACGCAATCATTAATCATTATCGTTTTATCGTTTGTCGAATAACGTAATTTACCCGTCGATTCGAGAACATTTTTCTCTTTTCTTGTTATTTTATTATTTGTTATTTAGATTCGTTAAAAAATTTCGTTTCGAATTTCATATCGGTTGAAAATCAAATTGGTTCGAAACTGTACTACAATATTTTTAAATCGAGATAAAATAGATTCGCTGCGTGAATATCTTTCATCAAAAGAAAAAAAAAAAAAAATATCAGAGTGAAAGAAAAATATGGAGAACTCGAACGTAGAATATAAAGTTGGGTCATCGTTGGATGACCGTGAACGATAAGTATTTATTTTTAACAAAAATATACGCACATAAACGTAAAATTTTATTCAAATTTTTCTTTCGGTATCCAAATTTTATTTCTTTATTAGTCGATAAACATAACGAGATAAGAGAACGATGATTCTTTAATGTATTATAATTTAGATTAAAGATAAATTCTACATTCTATATTTTATTTACTCGATTATTCGAGGATTTCTTTACGTTTGACAAATCAAGAAATCTCGATTATCGCGAAACTGCGAAAAGTAATTTGCCACAGGGTTTCCCATAAAAATAGAACTCGTGGGTTTTCACACATGATACGACATTGGCCTAAATACTTTCATCAAAATGCATATGCGTAAAAATAACCGCGGTATAAGAGATATAATCGCACGTGAACCATAATAAAATAACTATTCCAAGTTTTTTTGTTTCCATTTTGATAAATTGAAAATTTGATCTTATAGAAAAAAATTTAATCGTTGTTAAACATAAGATCGAATCTTCTCTAAAATAACCAGAATGAATACTTGTATAGTCGATAAATTTCTTACAAGATATTAAAAATTATAATTAACTTAA